CTTCAGGAGATGCAGAGCTGCTACTCCTGACCACCCTGGAGAGGAAGGGTTAGCGCATCTCCGGGCCTATGCTCACCTTCCTCAGCCAGTGGGCCTCACTCACTCAAGTCACAGGGAAGGTGCCAACCCCGAGGGAGGCCAGGGTCAGGACGGGCAACCTGTACTAGGGCCAACTCAGGACAGCCTAGGATTCACCCAGCAAAGGCCAAGGTGGATTCTGTGCGACCTGTCCCCAGAGTCCCTGATGAGGAGGAGGTGCTCTAGGACCCAAAGGCAGCTGTGAGAGCAAAGAAGAGCCGAGACCTGGAATGAGCTTTGTATACAGGCACCCAGTCTGGGCCAAAGGAGCACACACCAGGACCATCTGCTGTGGAATGTCCTGAGGTCACAGGAGGAGAGAGCTTCATGACTCAGGTCTGCCGGGAAGGTCTCGCTGGCCTCAAGGGGCTAGAGATAGCCTGCAGCCTCTTCTTGCATCATCAAGTCAATGGCGTCCATCTGGAAGGTGAGCTGGGGCTGACCGTATCAAACCGATTGTGGAGGAAGAGCTGGAGAACAGCAGGGCAAGTAACAGACACTGGCCAGGCCAAGGCTGGACAGGAGCTGTCCACTGTGTGCAGAGCACAGGCTCCAGGACCTCGGGGCAACCTCAGGGCTACGTCCTCTAGGCAGGCAGTTCCTCTCTTCTTTCTCCTAACCTGCTGCTTCCTTGCAGCCTGGTGATTCAAGTTTAGGGAAGCCCTTGATTCAGCAGCTGATGCTACCTCATGGGCCACCAGACTGACGCCAAGCAGCATACCCTCTGCCACTGTGATTCCTAGAGTTGCCACAACCTCCTGAAATAGTGTAACCAACAGCCCACATAGGCTCAGCAGGTAGCCAATGCAGCTTACTTAGCATGAGACTTAATTTTCCATCCTTTTAACAGACCGTTACTCAGTCTGCTATAAGCACTGGATTATGCCATCAGCAATCACCCGCACAGGCCCTGACCAGTCAGCAATCAAACCATCTAATCTCAGCAGATCTCAGGCAGATGCTAGGCCTAGGAGTCCTCATTAGGCAACTCGGCCATGTCCAAACTGGCCGGGAAGCCAACCCTCACCTGGGACCCCCACAGAGGGCTAAGCCTGCATTTCTCCTTTGCACACAGTCAGGCAGGCTTTGAGGAGCCAAAGCTCTGGTCTGCACTGAAGGGGTCCTTCCTCCTCCCTCCAACAGCCCGTAAACACTAGAGGGCGGATCATGCGACAAGAGTCACACATGCAGATCAACAAAACCCCCGAATTTCGAGTACAAAAATTTGCTAAGAAGGAGACACAGGTTTTGTGGGAAAGCTGCTTTCACCAGGGAGAGGGGACAGGGCTCCACATCCTCAGGTGATGCTCTAGCTGAACCTGAGTGCACCCATGCCAGCAGAAGAAGGTGATGCTCCAGCTGAACCTGAGTGCACCCATGCCAGCAGAAGAAGGTGATGCTCCAGCTGAACCTGAGTGCACCCATGCCAGCAGAAGAAGGTGATGCTCCAGCTGAACCTGAGTGCACCCATGCCAGCAGAAGAAAGCCAGAGGCCTGGGATGGGCCCTGAGCTTGGCAGGTTCGTGCTGCAGAAAGGGGTGAATGTGGCTGGGATATGGTGTACAAAGGGAAGGGGGCTTGGCCCGAAGTGCGGCTTGACAATGGGCGGTGAGGGGAGGGTGTGAAGCAGACCAGCTTTCCGAAGATACAGATGTCTTTTGCCTCAGTGTGGAGAACAGACTGAGGGGTAAGAACAGAGGTGGTGACCTGGGAAGAGGTGAATAAGTGGTAGCTCGGATGATGGTAAGAGCGATGCGATGGGTATGATCTGGGGGTCACCCCCCCACAAGGCCCCTTGAGACCAAGATCTGAAATGTTGCTCACATATACAAGAACATTGGGCAGCCCTTGGAAGTTACAATGTTAAAGACTTCTTAACAACCAAGGGGAAGAAACTCAAGCTGCAGTGAAGGAAGAGAAGCTGAAAACACATCCAGCGTGATCCCAGTTCCGTCCAAGGTGTCCATCTGGTGTCTGCCCGAGACATGGACACCCCTTGATGAGGACGGACAATGATGGAGGAAGTCACTGAGTGGGAGGAACCACAGACTTTCTTTCCCCTTTTATACATCGTACACTTACATATCATTATTATAATGAGGGGGGAAACACAACTCCTTTAACATAAAACTCCTTAATCCTAAGAAACCCGAGCTCCAGGAATGAAGTCGGGCATCCTGATCTGCTCTCCACCCCACACAACCCTGGCGGCAAGAGAGTCCGGGATGAGGAGTCACACGTCTTCATGTTTTTCTACTGGCTGATCAGCTACTAAATGGTCTGCTTTCTACAGATAAATATGCTCAGATAAAATCCTGTTTTCCCAGTAAAACCTCTTTACTACCCTGGTGAGTAAGCCTGTTAAGTATCTCTCTGCCAGATACAGCCAGCAGCTGGCTCACTGCATCATTTCAAGGCACCTCTGGTTGAGACTAATCCATGTAAAACATTCCAGTGGCCACTGGAACAAGGTCAGCCACTGCGGGGTTTGGCTATCCAGACCAAATCTGCGGTTAGGCAAGAAATGAACCCCTTAAACTGCCATTCTTCACCTAACAGCCAGACGAGCACTTGGCTTGCTGGGATATTATGAAGATTATATGGAAATCTTTTGCAAGCACTCCACAAACTAGAAAGAGTTCTGTGGAAGTGAGCCAGGATCTTCGGGAGTACAGCCACCACCGGGACCGCAACACCACCCAGAGAACAAGCCACACCCTAAAGAGAAGCGGCCAACAGGGAAAAGGAGAAGAGGGTGCGGTGAGAAGGATGCAGTGAGGAGCCAGTCTGCCCAGACTCAAGGGCAAGGGCTGTAATCACGCCTCTCATAGAGGGCACAGACCTTGTGGCTACTTCTAATCTGGATGCCCAGGCTGTGGGTCAGAGAGGGGCTCGCTGGAAAGGATTAACCAGAGCCTGTATGTGCTCTGACCAATGGTGTACGATGGAGTGCTGCTGAGCCAGTTCCCGAGCCCGGGCCTTAAGAGACCGGCACCTCTCACTTCCTGTTTCTTGGACTACCTATCTGATCATGGAACCCAGCTACTGCGCTACAAGGAAACCTATGCAGCCACGAAAAGGTCTACATGGAAAGGAACCAAGAACCCTGACCAACAGCCCCAGGTAAGCTCCCTGTCAACAGGCAGTGGCGACTTGCCAGCAGTAAACGAACCATCCTGGAAGGGTGCCCCCCGGCCCAGGTGAGCCGCTCTAGCTAGTTCCGTGTGAGGCAGGGGCACGGTTCCCAGGCGAGCTCTGGATACCTGGCCACAGAAGTGTGAGCAAAACAAACTCTTTTTTTTTAAGGTTTATTTCTTTTTAGAGAGAGGGGAAGGGAGGGAGAAATAAAGGGAGCAAAATATCAATGTGTGGTTGCCTTTCACATGCCCCGTACTGGGGACCTGACCTGCAACCCAGGCATGTGCCCTGACTGGGAATCGAACCAGCGACCCTTTGGTTCACAGACTGTGCTCAATCCACTGAGCCACACCAGCCAGGGCCAAACTGGTTGTTTAAACCATTAAGTTTTGGTGATTTAAATACACCGATAGGTTGCCAATACATGATGTGTGTATACAAGTCTAAATACAACACAGATATAAAAACTACCATAACAAAATACAGACCTTAAAATATTTTTAGTTCATTTTCAAACTACACCTCTAAGGAAAGGAGGGCGCAGGTTATGGGTCAGCAAACTCTGGCCATGAGCCACATCAGGCCTGCCACGTTTCTGAACGGCCCGTGACTAAAAACGGTTTTTGCATTGATTGAAAAAAATCAATACAAGAATAATATTTTATGACATGGGAAAATTGTATGAAATTCAAATTTCAGTTTGCGTCTATAAGTAAAGTTTCATTGGCACGCAGCCGCGCCCACTCATTTACACATTATCTAGCCTCACTCGTGCACAACATGGGCGGAGCTGAGGAACTGCACCCGCAATCAAATGGCCTGCGAAACCCGGCATTCCATCCGGCCCTTTAAGAAGTATGCTGACCGCTGCTCTAGGAGATGCTCACAGTGGGAAGAGCACACCCCAGGGACCCAGAGGGCTACCATGCCATCTCACTCAGGTTCTAGGGGACATTACAAAGTCCCACAACCCCAAAGGCCTGGTGTTTCTTCACACAGAAGTGTTCTGTTTCCGCCCTGGGCCAGCCAAGATACTCTTCCTATTACATGGATCTCAGGTACCCTTATTCGCTGGATTGCTTCCCCCCAAAAAAGATGGGGCAAGGCTGAAGCGTTAACTAATTTTGGTTCTTAAGTGATCAAATATATTAGTAAATATAGAATATCAAACTAGAGCAAAACTCCTATATTATTTATACCTTAAAAAAAAAAAAAAGATAGGTTCAGCCCTAGTTGGTGTGGCTCAGTGGAGTGAATGCCAAAAGGCTACCGGTTCGATTCCCCATCAGGGCACATGCCTGGGTTGTGGGCCAGGTCCCCAGTGGAGGGCCACGAGAACCACACATTGATGTTTCTCTACCCCCTTTCTCCCGCCCTTCTCTAAAAATATATAAATAAAATATCTTTAAAAAAATAGGTTCAGAGCAGTTAAAAGTTCTGTATTTTTGGGGTTTAATCCCACGGTCAATGAAAGGACGCCTTTTCCTATAACTTTTTCCACCACACCTTTAACTCAACGACTAAGAGGTCTCTCAGAGTACAAATGTAAAGGCTTTCTAACGATGAAAACCTCAAAATGGAAATAAGAACAAAGGTTTAGGACAAGCCTCTGAGATATATGGCGACCCTCTTGTGAACATCAGTGGCTGATCCTTGGCCACTTAGTAGGTTTTGGAAAAACTGAGCTCAGAATCACTAGAGTGAAGAACTGAAAAACTAAACCCTAAAACTAAAGTGGGAGATGAGAATTCTTCCTCATTTACTATTTATAGCCAGTTTCTCACCTTGATGATGTCTCCATTGGAGGCAATTAAATCTGTCGGAATGGTCACTCGAAAGGAGCGCCCAACGACAGCTGTGCCATCAGGAATGCCAACCACTGTGGGAACCGCCTCCGGGAGGTCTGAGAGCACCGAGTGCATGGACGCCTCCAGCTGGTTCTCCCAGTCCCTGATGGCCTCTGAAGGGTCACTCGGCCAGTGGGACTGAGTCACGGACACACAGAACAGAAGGAGAAAGGTCCTCCCCGAGAGGGGGAGCGGCAGCGGAAGGCCCACAGACATCCTCATCCAGGGTCAAGTCTGCTCAAGCCGAGAGTGTCACGATGAACGGAGGTAAGCGGCGTGGTCCCAGAGCTGGGCGGTCACCCTCTGCACACCTGCTCCATCCCTGAGCACCCGGAGCCTAAAAAAGAAGAACAACCGTCTCAGACTTCAGCGACCCCCATGAATTCAAAGTTGTGCACAGGCAGCTACTACCCTGTAAATGTCCCCAAATGGCTGTCCTGCATCGGACCAGGTCTCGCCCTGTGCTGTCCAGTACGGAGCCGCCAGCCACATGTGGCTGATGAGCGGGGGACATGGGGCTGGCCCACTAAGTGCAAAGTACACTTACACTTTTTATACAGATTTTTAAAACTTCACATACAAAAGGAATGTAAGATATCTCATTAATACTTTTGAGACATTCTTACATAGTGAAATAGTATTTTAAACATAAGTACATTTAGTAGTAAATATTAATAAATGGCAAATAGTAAAGAACTATATTACACTAAACACAGTATTAAAATTCATTCTTCCTTACTTTCACCTATTTTTATGTGACACGTGTGGCTCGCATTACATCTCCGTTGGGCCACGCTGCCCGGGACCTAACTCCTAACTTTATGGAAAACACGGGTCAGGAAGACGCAATCAGGCAGGTCTGGAGTGTGGGACCTTCTCCACAACACCTGGCTTGGTTTGTCCAGATGCTTACACCCCGAAACACCAGGGGCTGGTCTAGACCCCGAGAGAGCAACCAGGTACAGAATGTGCATCCTGACTAGATGCTGGACTTACTTAAAAAACAAAACACACACAAGTCTAGCACCCAAGGGGGTAACGGGAATTCTGCACATGGGCTGGAGGTAAGATTTATTGTTAATTTTACTTGGTGAAATGATGGTGGTGTCTCTGAAAGAGACAGTCCCTGGTTTTAAAGTCCTTAGGGATAAAACACCAAAAATCTCTGCAACTGACTTTGAAATGGTCCAAGAGAAAAATGCGTATGTGTACATAAAAAGACAGAGCAACAGAGCAAAACACAACCATTATTAAGTTTTTAAAACATACTTTTGAAAAGACTAAATACACCCAAGTACTTGCACAGAGACGTGACAAATGCCCGCCCCTCCCTCACACTCCAAGAACTTATCACAGGACCCACGTACCAACCGTGTATTTGTAAACTCAGTGCCAGTGAACCACACTTCCACAGCTTCTCTTGCCTCTGCACCACACTAACCAGAATCCCGCACGTTGTCCCCTCTCCCCCACGCCAGCTTCAGACAGCTTATGGCACCTGCTCTAAGGCTGGCAGCCACAGATGCATTGTGGGGCTTGCTGGGTGCCCACAGGTGACCACTGCCATCAGGAACAATTCCTCATTCTGGAGAAGAATTAAACCCTGCCCTGAGCCAAGCTGTTGAAGGGCCGCATGATGTATTTTCTGACCTGGGTAATACAAAGGAAGTAAAACTGCTACAGAAAACACGGCCACTGAAATGGGCAGTGTACTCTAAAGTCGATGCAAATCCAAGCCAATTCTAGCAGCTTTTTTTTTTAAATTCAGGTTCTTATTTTGTTTTTGAGCTACCATTCACCACACAAAGCCAAACCCCAAGAAAGTAAAACAGTTTTGGAGCCTGGGAGTCCGATTGTACCAAACAAAGGTTTAACCTAAAGCAACTGTATTTAAGGCCAAGTCTCATGCGGAGAACAGCCAAGCTGACTGTGGAACCAGAGGGAGAGCCAAAACCAGCCCTGCTAAGGAGCTGTTCGAAAGTTCTGGAATGAGCGGCCACTTAGGCTCCTCCCCTACTTTCCTATCACAAACGAGATAAATCCCAGGTACATTAGACACACAAATGAAAACAGCAGAATTAAAAACTTTAAAAAATATAGTTGAATATCAGGACAAAGAAGGATTTCATTTTAAAAGACATCAAAAAATATAAAACATAAAAGAAAAAGTCCATTGGACTTCCAGGAAAATGGAGCAGATGTTCTTCCCTGGTTTCCCACTAACTACAATGACAATCTCTAGACATTCTACATAAAATAAACATAAACCTTGGCTAGTGTGGTTCAGGGGACTGAGTGCCAGCCCGTGAACCAAAAGGCCACCAGTGCGATTCTCAGTCAAGGCACGCGCCTGGGTTGCAGACCAGGTGCCCAGCTGGGAGCCGGGAGTGTACAAGAGGCAGCCCATTGATGTTTCTCTCTCTTTCTCCCTCCCTTCCCTCTCTCTGAAAATAAATAAGTAAAATCTTTTTTAAAAATCGCCTAAGACTTGGTCAAAAAAAGGCAGACCTGCCAGGGGCCCCAGGACTCAGGAAAGACCCTGGTGAACCACATGGGTTTTCTTTTTGCCTCATATCTTCCAGAAGTGGAGCTGAAGAAGGTGGCAACCCAGAAATGCCGACAGATAAAACCACAAAGGTCCCAACGAAGTCTGCTCTCTGTAGCCAAAGGACAGGAAGGGGCAGCCTAGCCAGACAGACAACATTTACACGGTAACAGCCCTGTTCTAGACAAACACCACAGAAAACAAGCGGGGCCCCACTCCCACCCACACCAGCAAAGTCCAAGTGTGGGACCTAGACTTCCACCCTCGTGAGGCTGTAACAAGGCGCCCCAGTACCCCCCCGAGGTAGTGTCAGAGAAGGCCAAGCAGAGACTTTCGTCCCCACCAGCCGGTAACAATGCGCTGCCCTTGCCCTCCTCTTCCAGCCCCTCAGTGTCAATGGAAACAACACGGGAACCCGTATTTCTATGCCCACCGGGCAGTAATAAGGAGCCTCTCTCCCCCCTGCTAGGAAGGTATCACAGGAGGATTCACGGAGGGTCGCAACTTTCACCATTGCTCAGTGGTAGTGATGCCCGGATGTCCACCGCTGCGCAGTGGTAACAGGGACTTCGCCCACCTTCAGGTGTCACTAAGGGCTGAGTGGGGACTCTGGACACCAACCTCCACTTCCCAATAATCAGGAAGCACCTCCCCTACCTCTCCCCTGCCAGAGAAGTACCAGAAAAAGCCAGCTAAAACAGAACCTAGAGTTTCAGAACAAAATACGATTTTCTTAAAAAATCATTCCAAGAACCAGGACGACTGCAAACTGAGTAACAAAAGGTGATCAGTAAATGGCTGCGCCAAGGCAACAAAGACAGGCAGAGAGTAAGAGGGTGGGAAAGACACCAGGCGAACACCAGAGGAAAGCAAGGGTGGCTGGATGTGTATTAACATGGGACGAGGCCGCCTTCGGAGCAAAGAAAACGATCAAAGGAGGCCACCACACAATGACGGAAGGGCCAGTCCGCCAAGAACAGTAATGATGTTAAATGCCTGTGCACCACACAACAGAGCTACAAAACGGGTAGAGCCAAAACTGAGGGAACCGAAAGAAGAAACTTAAGAATCCACAATTCTAACTAGAAACTTCAGTGCCACTCTCTCAGCAACTGACGAAATAACTACAAAGAAAATCAGCAAGGATACAAAAAAACCTCAAAAATACCATCAGTCATAAGCTCTACTAGACCTTTATAAAGCATTCCATCTGCAGTTAAAAACACACATGCTTTTCAAATGTTCGTGGAACACATGTCCAGATAGACCATATCTAAGGTCATGAAATAAACCTCAACGGAAAACGTTTTAATTCTCACCGAGGATACGTTTAATAGACTTGAGAGAGAGAAACATAGGATGTAAGAAACATTCATCAGTTGCTTCCTGCACACACCCTACCACGGATCGAATCTGCAACCCAGGTAAACGTGCCCTGACCAGCAGCTGAACCCACAACCTTTTGGTGCAGGGATGATGCTCCAACCAACCGAGCCACCAGCCAGGGCCAAACCTGGACAAATTTTAAGGAAATGAAATGAGCCCTGGCTGGTGTGGCTCAGTGGATTGAACACTGACTGGCCTGCAAACCAAAGCGTCACTAGATCGATTCCCAGCCAGGGCACATGCCTGGGTTGTGGGCTAAGTTCCCAGTAGGGGACGCACGAGAGGCAACCACACACTGATGTTTCTCTCCCTCCTTTCTCCCTCCCTTCTCCTCTGTCTAAAAATAAATAAAATCTTGAAGGAAATGAAATAATATTGAATGTGTTCTTCAACCACGAGGAAATCAAATCAAATATCAGTAACTAAAGGAAAACAGGAAACTCTCCAAATGCTTGAAAATTATACGACATACCTCTAAATAATCCTGGGGTCAGAGAGGAAGTCTCAAGAGATATAAAAAATTAAAATGAACCGAATTAAAAAAATACATTTGTTGACTAGTATTAAAATTCGTGGAACACAACAACTAAAGCAGCAGAGGTGTGTTTACAGCCCTGAATCCACTAGAAAAGAAGGAAGTCTCAACCCAATAATCTGTGCTCCTACCTCAAGAATCTAAAAAGCCAAACAACCCAAAGCAAGCAAAAGGAAAAAAATAATAAAGAGCAAAAATCAGTGAAATTGGCCTGGCTGGTATTGCTCAGTGGACTGAGCACCAGCCTGTGAACCAAAAGGTCACCAGTTTGAGTCCCAGTCAGGACACATGCCTGGGTGGTGGACCAAGTCCCCAGCTGGGGGCGGCGAGAGGCAACCAACTGATATGTCTCTTGCACATCGATATTTCTCTCCCTCTTTCTCTCTCCCTTTCTTGCTCTCTGAAAATAAATTTTTAAAATATATTTTTAAAAATCAATGAAACCAAAAACAAAAGTAGAGAAAAAGAAATACAAAATAAAACTGTTTCTTTGCAAAGATTAATAAAATTGACAAAGTGTCTAGTAAAACTGACAGAAGACACAAATTACCAGTATCAGGAATGAAACAGGGTATCTCCCTACAGATCCTGCAGACATCAAAAGGATAGTAATACATCAAGTAACTCACAGATAGATTTAACAAGTCAAATGAAAGAGACCAATTCCTTGAAAAGTACAAACTACCACAATTCACCTACTACAACACGGATAATTTCTATTATTAAGGAAACTGAATTTGTAATTTAAAAACTCCCACAAAAAGCCCTGGCTGGTGTGACTCAGTAGATTGAGCTCCTCCAGCCTTGGGACCGCAAGGTAACTGCTTGATTCCTGGTCAGGGCACTTGCCTGGGTTGCTGCCAGGTCCCCG